TGTATAATAAATGTAATACCTTAGAATATTAGTAATCATTATCTACACTAAACTATAGTAAGTCAATGGTTTAGGGATGGGTTCATGCATTTACCAAAAATAAGTGAATTATTCAAATTGTATTCCTTCTGGCACTGCAAGTGCTTTAAATCAAGATTCAAATACTGTACTTATTTTAAGGCATACTTTTGGTAATAATAGTTAATTGCATGTAAAACACTATTCTTTTGTTTTTATAGACTTTAAATACTTTTAAAACGAGAGCTAATTTAAGATTTGCAATAATTTATTAGCATTTAAGTCAATACTATTCATAACAGACCTGTAGTGAAGATGCGATGGAATTGTTTAGTAATAATGAACGTGTGATTCCTCGCGAAAACTTATAGGAATGTCCCACTCGTCGGGCCTCAGCACTGGACTTGGGCTCAGGCCTCGGGTGGTCGTGATTTCCTTTGGCCTTTGCGTGCATTTTATTCATTTGTCTCATTATATTGTCTAACAATTAATTTCATGCTTGGATTACCTGGAAAAAGACGGCATATTCTGTGTGCCTCCAGAAGTGAGTCACTGGATACCCGCAATGTCCACGACAGGGTTGCACCTCTAGCCTACCTGTGCACTTGTGATTGGGACAGGGCTTGTGTTGTTGCTTCTTACGGGCCTTATCACAAATAGCTGGTCTCAAGTGAATGGTATCGCCGTTGTCTAGAATGCAGTTCTTATTGCAGACGAGGACTCCAAGACATGACTTCTTGAGTATATGGACGTTATGGTTGTTGGTGTTCCTCATCGCCCAACCACTTGAATGCCTTCGCGCCTCTTCCGAGTCGGGTCTGTAGACAAACCTGGAGTGGCCGTCAGCCCACTCTTGGAAGGGATCGTGTGCTGTCACCTATAAAAACGGCACATTTACTTATTACAACGTCTACAGCGAACCTAAGGCTGAATATAAGCTGAAAGTTATGCTAATCTAATAACACCGGAGACAGTGTTGGAGAGACGGTGTGTAACGCTATTCCGATCGACAATTCAAAGCCAGAGGCATTGACTAATAGCATAATATTCCCCTTTTCTAGTTATGCAGTAATTTGCGGACCATTTCTTACGAGTGAAAAGTTTTTTGAGGGATTTCTTCAAACAATTGCGATAACAAGTGTAAGGCATAGACATTACAAATGTCATTCATTAGCCATACATTTGCCGGTCATTTAGCTCTATAATGCACTATAATATAGCAATTATGGGTAATCTTATGTTTAATGGAAATGAATAACACAAATATATTCGCATGAATTTAACCATTGCTTCACTTCTGTGTCCACTCGATATAATTACTTGCTTTTGGAAATAAACATAGTTTTTATGTAGTTATATAGTGAACCAAATTCACCAATATTTTATTTTTTAGTTAAACTGTTGTTGCATTGCATTTGATTAGAGACTCACAAACAAATAGCTAATAATTATCACCTGAGAGTAAATTCTAAGCAAATCTTTCAAATTCTTATTTCATAATCATATCCACAAATATTTCTGACAATACTTTATTGAATAAAAAATTGCATTTCATTTTGAAACTCAATTTTAAAGAATGGACAAAAATGTTAATAAAATAGTTTTGTTGGCATTTCATTCACTTACATAAAGAATTTTATTTGTTCAAAGTTTAGTCAAATATTTATCATATTTTCCAATGACTACGAGATTGAGTTTAAAAGATTTCAATACAAAAGCATTTTTTGTCAATTATTATGTATTGACTATTGATTTGAGTGAAGAATAGGAAAACAGAGATTAAGACAGAGATAAGATTTAAACAGCGATTAGATGTTTATAACATAATTTGAAAGCTTCCAAACGCATAGAGCTTATAGAGTAAGAGCTAAACCCTATTCTCAAAAAGTTGTATAACTCATACAAAAAAAATAAACTCACTTTTGGTATGTGATTATCATTGATGTCCCACTCGAGAGTGTTGTGGTCACTGTTGCCCTGACACATGTTCATGACATACACAAACTTAAATAATTTGTAGTGCAATCATATCATTTGAATTATTAAAAATAATTACAAATTAACAAAATAATGTCAAATTGATATTAATATGAGTTTAATAGAATAGAAATAAAACGAGATATCAATTAGTGTTTAAATAACTGGTGTTTCGATTTAAACGAGTTTATGATGTTTACTGACAAATCCTCTATAGAAGTGATTTCTTTTTAGTTATGGTTTAGAGCTCCGCCCGCTCTTAGACTCCGATTCTTCCCACTCTCTCCTCTCTCTCTCTCTCTCTCTCTCTCTCTNGTTGTGAAAACTATAAGAAGTATTGTAAGTGCAATACTTTTAGTTATTTTGACAGATTTGGCTCTTTTATAGACATTAACGAAATGAAAATTTTTATCAAAAATGGTTAATCGACTTTAAAATAATTTAAATTTTAATCTATAAATTGTTATATAAATTGTGTGAATTCTGCTTTTTTTATGACTGTTTCTCACATAAAACTTCTTATTTAGTGAAAACTATTTCACCAAAGAGTCACTTATTATTTTATGAATTACGGACAAAGTTTTCAATCAGTTTGGAGTCAACAGTATTTGCAATCTAAATGGGTTGGAATTTTTCAATGCTAACTTGCTAATGCTAATTTTTCTTAAAAATTTATGCACCATTCAAAATTCATGGCAACCTCAAGCTTTGTGTGTGAGAGAGAGAGAGAGAGAGAGAGAGAGAGAGAGAGCTAGTGCTGTAGTAATGAATGAATTGTGTGAGGGTTTGATTGAATGGTTGATGAGAGTGTATGGTTGACTACGGGCTACGGCGTGAGTGTATGGCATGCATGCACTTTATGGCACATAAGTGGGCCTATAATCGGCGTTTTCTTAGACAACAGATGCTTAACATGTCGTATAAGTGAGAGTACGACGCGTGCCATAAACACTATCAGCCCATCAATGAATGAGATATGATATGTTAGAAATGAGGGTCATTTGCATAACACATTCACTAATCTATTAATTATTCTATTAATAAGCTTTCCATTTATTAAACAATTTAATCGATTCACAAATTAAACTCAATTTATTATTTTATATAAATTTGCTCATTTATATACTTTTATTAGCTATAATTTTGTGGAAAAGCTAAATAATTAATTTTGGAAAATAATAATAAATAATATTAAAATTCATTATCAGATAATTATATCATAAATGCATGAAACATGTATTGATTGAACATTAAAACCCATGAATCGCATACATCTGCCAAAACTTCCTGAAAAAGTAAAAGTAAAGCTTCAAATTGAGTGCTTTGTATGCTTTGTACTGACGAGTCAAATGGGAAGACCTGTCTGTCAGGGATGATATGTTTGATCAGTGAAACAATGTATGCAATGCTTGCAGATCATGATAGGGAGGCAATGATCACTGGCTTCCAGTCAAAGCTCAGCCTTACTCTAATTGCTGAGCAATATCGTTGCTTTCAATGGCTCTGGGCTTTCATTTATCAGAAGTTTGTTTCAATAATAATAATCATATTTCAGATTTGGACTCAACTTATAAACAAAGAATAAATTCAAAGCAAGAAATTCAGAAATTCTCAGTTTTATGTCAAACCAAAGCGAGTCTTTAGTCAATTAAAAATGCTTTCTTTGTTTAAATATGTTTTCATAAAATAGTGCTTTGGATCTATGGATGAGTAGAAAAACAAACCATTCTACTATTAATACGGTAGTCCAGCCCCAGTTCCTACCGGTGCAATACTATTGAGATTTGAAACTGTTCAAATATGTAAACTGAGTCTTCATTTGAAAGATATTACAGAATTTCTAAATTTAAACCGACAACTGGACTCACTTTTATTACGATCTTAATTCAAATTTCTATACAAAACTACGGTTCCTTTCAAATCAATATAAGGAATAAACTATTACTTTTATAGCACTGAAAATCTCCAAAATCATTGCAAATGACAAAAAGATTACTGTTAACTGCAAATGTATTGTTAACCCAATAATAAAGTGTCGATTTTTAGCACATAATACAGTAATCCTAAAGCCTTGCGACGATTGACACTCTTCTCCATTGGATTCCCTTTGAAGCGCCGTTTATATGGCAAGAGATGCCAATCAGTCCAATAACATAGAGATAGTAGTGGCCATAAAAATCCTATAGTCTTTACGGATTTGTTATCAGGAAATAAAATTAAGTTTCCATTTAATATTTACTCATTAATGGCTCCTTATATTCGAGTCAAACAACACATTCACTCCTAACTAAACTTCGCTATAAAAGTGAATGTCTATTACACACAATTTGTAAGATTTTGTGCGAATAAGCCAGGGCATTGTTTGTTATCAATGAGGATGATATTTGTATGCATTCTTCTTTATTTTTGCCGTATCTTTCGGTAATTCACAATATTTTAAATATTTTTAGAGATATTTGCATACGATAAACGGAGTTCAACAGTTATATTATAGTTATGACAATTAAGTTTAGTGGAAGTTTAGGTTAATTACAATTCAATAAGTATGAAAACAAAGAAACAAATATCAATAGTAGAAAAGAGATTTATTTAGTTTAACTAATTGAGCACTAATTAAAGGCTCGTAAATAAGAAGATGTGACAAGAATTGTGTGTTAGAGTGAAATCCCGCCCACAATCACACTAACGGTAGTGAAGAGCATAGGATTGAAGAGGTAATCGAGTGGTGGAGAGACGGGAGAGAAGGGAGAGAGAGAGAGAGAGAGTAAGAGCTAAACCCTATTCTCAAAAAGTTGTATAACTCATACAAAAAAAATAAACTCACTTTTGGTATGTGATTATCATTGATGTCCCACTCGAGAGTGTTGTGGTCACTGTTGCCCTGACACATGTTCATGACATA